TGATGATGATGATGATGATGATGATGATGATGATGATGATGATGATGATGATGATGATGATGATGATGATGATGATAGTTCCATTTTAATGTTACTATTTTTGGTATATTATTCCCAAGATTACTACTACTACTACCAATACAACTATGACTACCAATACTACGACAACGACGACCACTACTTTGAATATAAGTACCGTAATTATCTAATTAATTGGTGGCTTTTGATATCACGTTGGGGTGGGGATATTATTCTTACACTGATTGAACTGTTTTTAAATAAGCAAATAATTGTATGGAGATTTGGTTTTATCACAATGATTTATGTAATATATTATATTGTTGAAGCAGCTTTAATTTATGCCACGTAAGAAAGATTGAAAAGTGGAAATAAATTTATTTTTTTTTAATTTAATTAATCATTTTTATTATATTATTTTAGATATGATTTTCCGGTGTATGGTTTTCTTAATTGGCGTTATCAAGGTACACGAGTTATCGGTTGGTGTGTTTTGGTGATTTTTATTTTCATAATTGCATTTATTATAACATTTCGGATCCATAGATCTAGAGATTGTCTTGGAAAAAAATATCATGATAACATGGATAAGAATCAACAAACTGCACGTGGTAATGCAATGGAACAAAGGGCACATACTGTCCAAGTAGTCTAAGTCACATACTTGGAGTATAAGTTATTATGTGTTGTTGTTTAAACATGTATTCTATACTTTTGTATTAAATTGATGAATGTATTTTCTCTCAGTTTTGAATCCACTAAATTAGATTTGAAAATTTTTCTTGTTATTTATTTAATTATTTAGAGATTTAATAAATATCACTATTTTTTATTAACAAGTTTGCGTATTAGGATCCTTACATATGCACTGATTTTGATTGAATCCCAAAATTCAGTACAACGTTATGAATACTTTATACTAGCAAAAGCCCATTGATTTTAAGGTGGGGCCATTGGTTTAACGGGATGTTGAATAGTAAAATAGTTTTTTTTAGCGGAGCAAATAAATTTTTTAGGGTCAATCATTCTAACCAGTTTATACATTTAAAATACTCGTGTTTAATGTCGATATTAAGGATGGGCAGATCAGCACTATACGTATAGTTAGAGATGGGCATTATGCAACTTTTCGAACATGGTGATCTTTTCTTATAACTGATTTATTTTAAAAGTTTATTAAAATAAAATAATTATACATATCTAAACTCGATAAGTCGGACGTAGCAATCAATTGTTTAAAGTACTTTATAATATAAATAAATGTCCGACTTATCGAGTTTAGATGTGTAATTTTTTTTGTGAAGGTAATTTTAAAACTGGTCTAATTGAATAAAAAATATTACAAATTGATTTTAATTCAGAAAATGAAAAATGAAGTCCACAACAAAAAATAGTAGTTGCAAATAAAACTTCAAATTCTTGTTGCTCTGCAGAAGAAATTATATCAATAAAATTAATAACTGAGGTATCAACTAAATGAGTTTCTTGAGATAAAGAAGAGGAAGAGGAAGAGGAAGTAGCCTCATGGCCGAGCTTTGTAAAATGAGACCAAATTTTACTAAGCGGAGGCATAAAAATAAAAGTCTTTTTTAAAAAAACTGTGTAACACTACTTATATTCATTATTTGTTGGGACACATTACTATTATGCGCATTTTAAAAAATTCATTTGCGCATTATGCAATTTTGCCCATCTCTAGAAGGCTTGCTATAGAGAGTGTGCGTGAAATCTATTCAATTGTTTTATTACATCATTTTAAAATATACAATTTAATTTTATTAGCTTTCAAAAAAAAAAAAAATTCACACATGCACAAACAAGTAAGAGAGATAAAGCGTGTTGGTTTTATGACATTTCTTTCAATGCATGAAGACAAATTAGGCGTTTATTTCACACAAAATGAATATTTATAAATCAAGGAAATCATTTAGAATTGAATTTCATTGATAAAAAGAAGAAATAATTTATTTTTAATCTTTGTTAAAAGACTTTGTTTTTCCTTGACAAAAAATCAAAAAATAAATAATGAAATTTAATCCTGAGCTTTCCGTGACTTCATGGTTTGTCAGCCCATTAACATTGCTGATATTTAGAGGAATGGCAACAGCAATTACATGGATGAATTTGTTATTATGTTTATTTAAATATGCTGCTGAATACTTTTTTTATTTTGAAAATTGGAGTTATCTTGGATTAACATTTTATTTCACTGTAAGGTTCCTTTACTTATTTGAAAAAAAAAATTATTTTCAAAAAGAGAAAAAAGTAATGTATTATTTTTTTAAAAAATATAAAGCTTGCATTCCTCTATTCAATAGGTTATGTAAAAACTGGAACAAATTCATTCAACCAAACTCCTCAAAAGTGCTTTGACTGTTCATTCTGGATGCTTTATCATACAGTTGTATACTACCAGTGAGTTTTTATTCAAATCAATTCCATAGAAAAATAATTTGTATTTATATAGTTTCTAAAATAATAACAATGATGATGATGATGATAGTTCCATTGTAATGTTTCTATTTTGGGCATATTTTGTCCAAAATTACTACTACCACTACCAATACAACTACCAATACTATGACAACGATGACCACTATTTTGACCACAAGTACCGTAATCATCTAATTAATTGGTGGCTTTTGATATCACGTTGGGGTGGGGATATTATTCTTGCACAGATTGAACTGTTTTTAAATAAGCAAATAGTTGTATGTGGATTTTGTTGTATAGCAACAATGTTTGTAATACTTTATATTTTTGAAGCAGGTATAATTTATGCCACGTAAGTAAGATTGAAAAGTGAAAATAAATTTATTTTTTTTAATTTAATTAATCATTTTTTATTATTTTAGATTGGGTTTACCGGTTTATGATTTTTTTAATTGGCAATATCATGGTCCAAAAGTTATCGGTTGGTGTATTTTAGTGATTTTGGGTTTCGCAATTTCATATGTTATAACAGTTTGGACACATATATTTAGAGATTCTCTTGGAAAAGAATATCAAGATAACATGGATAAGAATCAACAAATTGCACGTGATAATGCAATGGAACAAAGTGCACCTAGAGTAGTAGTAGATACTTTTGTATTAAATTGATGAATGTATTTTCTCTTAGTTTTGAATCCACTAAATTAAATTTGAAAATTTTTCTTGTTACTATTTAATTATTTATTAGGAGCTGAGATATAATAAATATTACTATTTTTTATTGACAAGTTTGCGTATTAGGATCTTTACATATGCGCTGATTTTGTTTGATCATAATGTTATGAATACTTTATACTAGCAAAAACCCATCGGTTTTGAGGTGGAGCCATTGGTTTAACGGGATGTTGAATAGTAAAATAGTTTTTTAGGGAACAAATAAATTTTTTTAGGGTCAATTATCATTCTAACCAGTTTATACATTTAAAAAATACTCGTGTTTGACGTCGAGATACAATAAGGTTTGAAAAAAGGGGACCAAAAAAACCATAAAAAGATTAATGATATTTGTAGTCAAGTTTTGTACGATATCACATATTTATCATCGTTTGTTAAATTTTGTCTGAATAATTTTGACAGGTGGGTGTGTTTATTATTGTATTGTATTGGAAGGACTTTTGCGGTGGTAGCAGTGCTGATTTATTACTAAGGTTAGTGCTAGAGGAAACGACTCAGTAGAATAAATTAACTTTATTACGGGGGTAAATAGAAATGATTATTTTTTATATCAATATTAATATTAATATTAATAATACAGTTTCCGTATTAGTTAATATAGCAATATCAATATAAAAAATACTGTAATTTCAGCACCGTATTCCATATTATTATTATTATTATTATTATTATTATTATTATGTACCGATTACGTATTTTAAGGTACGAAAAAGTGCATTTTCCGTAATCACTGATTATTGAAATATTTTGGTTTACTGTATATATTACAATAACTCGTCGTTTATTGGTGCAGTGAGCATTAAATTACCATTATTCGAATCGTCTTTATGATACTATTCTAACGAACCATGTTTCATAAAATTTGGATCACTGGTTCTCGAGATAAATTATTAATTATAATAAATCATGTGATATTACATAATTCATTTTGACCTTTTGGGGCCAAAATCGAAATGGACAAAAATCAATTTCGACCATTTCGACTTCACGTATAATCTCTATACCATTCTACAACAATGTCCTTCTTACAAAGATCCACCATTATACCAAGATGACCTCTACACCACATAATCTGATGAATTTCTTGAATTGTTCATAGTTCCAAAGTTAGTTAAAGAGACAAGAGATCTTGATTATTTACCTGATGGAAATTAAATCTGCAATTTTTTATGGGTATCAATATTCAGATGCATGTGATCAGATTGTGAATATATTATTTTTTATTCCTCAAGGAAAAACATAATTTGAACCAGCATGTGATAAGATCCAAGTATATTCGGATGACCCAACAAATTATTTGATAATGATAAATCAAAACAAGGTATTGAGATAAATATGAAAGAAGAATAGAACATTCAAAATAATTTATGTATTATATAATAATAATCTTTTTTATTTCTTTTTGCTGTGAATATTGGGATTTTCAATAATAATTTTCATTTCTATTTTTTCATTCAATTCTTGTATCTCTTGTTCTTTAATAGATTTAAATTAGAATCATCGTAGAATTTTTCGCTCCCACATGATTTATGAAAGTGAAAAATTAAATAAACTAATAAAAATTTGCTGATCTAGTATGGTCGTTTGTAACAATTTTCCGAAAAAGGCGATTATTTTTTTCATCTTTTTTCAAAAATTCAAGTAAAAAAATTTTTTATACAACATAAATTTAAAGAGGAAAAAAATGTTTAAAACGTTTAATTTAACAAAAGGTCTTTCAAAAAAGGCTTCTATGGTATGAAAAAGTTTTAAATTTATTAGCATTAAATAATAATATAACATTATTATTGTTATTGTATATTCAAGCTTTCAAAAGGTCAACAAAAAAGATTTTTAGCAATTCACGAATATTTATCAATGGATCTTTTAAACAATTATGGTATAAAAACTCCTAAAGGCTCTGTCGCAAAAACTCCATTAGAAGCATATGATGTAGCTCAAAAACTTGGTTTAATTTATTTTTATTTTTATTTAAAACTGTTGGTTTAATAAAGATCAAATGCTAATAATAAATGTTAAATTTTTTTGGTAAGTAATTAGGTACTGAAGATGCAGTAATCAAGGCTCAAGTTTTAGCTGGTGGTCGTGGTAAAGGTACATTCGAGAGTGGACTTAAAGGTGGTGTCAGAACCATCTTTTCGTATGTATTATTTATAGATATATATGTGTTGTATATTATAGATATTTGTTACAATTACTTATGTTTTTAATAATCATTATAGCGCTGCTGAAGCTAGAATGTTTGCTGAACAAATGTTAGGTCATAAACTTGTAACAAAACAAACTGGTGCAGCTGGAAAAATATGTAATGCGGTAAAAAAAAAATTTTTAGAATAAAAGTGAATAATTTTTAATTTACCAAAAAGAATAAAATAAGAATTTTTAATTTAGGTATATATCGTTGAACGTAAATTTGTTCGACGTGAATATTATCTTGCCATTTTACAAGATCGAAAATCTCAAGGCCCTGTAATAGTTGCCTCATCTCAAGGAGGAATGGATATTGAAAGTGTTGCAGCGGAAAGTCCTGAAGCCATTATTACTTTACCAATTGATATAGATGTTGGATTGGAAAAGGACAGTGCTCTGACTTTGGCTAAAAAATTAGGATTTTCTAATAAAGTTCAGGAAGATGTATGTTTATTGCACATTTTGAATTATTATTATAAGCTATCATCATCATTAATTAATTAATTAATTAATTCATTAACCTGATATCTATTTAGGCTGCTGATATGATGCAAAAACTCTACAAGTTGTTTATAGAAAAAGACTGTACGCAAGTAGAAATTAATCCAGTGGCAGAATCTACCGAACATGAAGGTTAAACCAATAACAAAATATTCATGACAGGTTTATTAAAATAAAAAAAAAGAACATTTTATTGATCAAACATTTATATTAAAAATTATAGTATTATGTATGGATGCAAAACTTAATTTTGATGATAATGCAGAATTTCGTCAAAAAGACATATTTGCATTACGTGATACATCACAAGAAGATTCTCGTGAAGTTCAAGCAGCAAAATTTAATCTAAATTATATTGGCCTAGATGGTCAAATTGGTTGCTTAGGTAAATTAAATGTGAAAGTTTTAAAATTTATATATTTATATATATATATATAATTATATTTTTTTTGAATAATTTAGTAAATGGAGCGGGTTTGGCAATGTCAACTATGGATATTATTAAGCTTCATGGTGGCGAACCAGCTAATTTCTTGGATGTTGGTGGTGGTGCTACATCTGAACAAGTGACTGAGGCATTCAAAATTATTTCATCAGATCCACAAGTCACAGCAATTTTGGTAAATATTTTCGGAGGTATTATGCGATGTGATATTGTTGCTAAAGGTATCATTCAAGCAGCAACACACTTATCTTTATCGATACCTGTAATAGTAAGGCTACAAGGTAATAATTAGTTTCTATATGCATTGGATTTTTAATTTTATATGTATATATGTGTTTGATTAATTGTATTATATTAAAATATTAATTAACAGGCACCGAAGTGGAGGCAGCAAGAAAATTGATTTCAGAATCTGGTTTGCGTATAATTTCTGTGGATGATCTTGATGAAGCAGCAACCAAATCTGTACAGTTATCAAAAATTGTCCAACTTGCACGCAGTGCAAATATCGATGTCTCATTTGAATTACCTATATAAATTTATCGTCAATAAAATTTATCATTTCCTTGCTTTAATTAATGGTACTATTAATATAGAATTATTAATAAATTATAAATCACTTATATTACAATTGTCTTAAAAAGGTCATAATTAAAATAAACTTTACTGACAATTCATTAATTTATTAAGATGAAAATAACAGGATTTTTTTTTTGTTTAAGATATATTGTAAATTTAACATTGAGTTCCTCCAAATGTGAAAATATAAAGTCCAATTTATAAAAATTAGAGATCAATATAAACGGCAGTTCATTATTCTGTCGATGTTAAAGGTTAAATCTGAAATATTGAGTGAGGGCTCAAATCTAATAATGTGTTATCCACATTGATATAACTACAGAGCATAACTAAGTGGTGCCACCAAATGATTCGATGTACTTAAAGAACCGGATCGTTTAATTATAGATCCAATTTTTTGAAAAGTCCATATGCGTGCGCCATCATCAAAAGACTGCACATCTGTACCATTGATCTCCTTGGCAACAACATCTTCACCTAAGATGGGTGATCGGTTTACGACATGCAAGTTGTGTATGCTTTTTTCGCGGATAAAGTGGATAAAAATTTTAATTCCCTGTTATCGAAATGTTGAGGGGGTGGGGTGCTGAGAGGAAGAAAGCTGAAATGGAAGGTTGAGAAAGGGAAGGTTGAGAGTAAAGTTGAAAGAATTGAGAGGGTTGAAACGAAAAATTCATTTAGTGTGGATGTTTATAATGGGGGTTTTTTTTATTGAACTTTCTAATTATGATTCTTGTTTATTACAACGACACGAATAAAAATTTTTATTATACATATAGTTTCTATACAATAACCCAGTGTGTTACGCAAAAAAGAAAGTAGAATTTTACATTAAAACATAAAATGAGGTCGTTTAATGAAATACTGATAATAAATGAAGATTAACTTCAGCAAAAGGTTGCTCCTAGAAGCGTCTTCACAACTTTCTACTTGATTTTCAATCTACCATTTGTTGTCTACATTTAATCATCGCTGTTGAACAGAAAATTACCAGGCACCTCGTCAGTAAAGTAAATGATAAAAATAGAACCAAAACACACATCCTTCGGCAAAGTAGAAATTTATGGGCTAATTTAACACGATAGTTAATGTTTGCAAGGATGCTTGGAGCGTAAAACCAGATTGGCCAGAATGATTCTGTCTAAACAATGCTGCTATTGTCACAAACGTATCCCAAAAAAGATAATCAAAATCATGTTTGGTTGTCATATGAATGATC